TTTCATTGGACAGAAAAACTTGAATTTTGCTTATACTTGTTTACGGGAGGCTTAAGGACAGACTGATAGGCTGGCTGGATAATTTGGAGTTCAAATGACAATTGACTGAAACTTTTTAAATCCCTAAATAGATTGGACTATAAAGACCACATACAAAAACAAAATGGATGTTCCATAATTAGCCTTAAATGGTAAAAAAACCATCCCTAACACTTGCCTTTAAAGTCCCCAGCTTGATATACCAACAAGAAAATGTTAATGAATCTCAAAAAGAAATTCTTTCTATGTTGAAATCAATACAAGAGACAACTGCCTTAGCTCATGATGAGACTAAAAATAACGCAAAGGAGATAAAAGAACAATTTTCTAAACTAAACCTACAAATTCAGAAAATGACTACAAAGAAGGAACTAGTAACCCAGAAAATAGAAGGAAAATTAGAGGAAGCAGATCCAAAGATGGAGGACCTAAAGGAAGGAATCAACAGACTTAGACAAATGAAGAATTAGAAGACATAGCAATAATACCGGAAATGGAAAAGATATCTTACTTGTCAAGATCTCAGAACACATTTGAGGATAAGGAAGAAGAGCTGATCGAATGGAAGATAAAGCTGTTAGGAGAATTGTGGAAAATTGGAGAAGGAGGGAGGCTCTTTAATGAATATAAATGGGCTGAGCATTCTTCCAAGAATACATTAATTATCTTTCTTATTCCAAACAATATACACAAAAATAGAGGAAGAACTACTTGATGATTCAAATGCATTGACTTGGAAAGTTAGTTGACAAAGGAAGAAAGCTAGAGTAAGACTGAAGAAAATTGAGATTTTGACCCAATAGATGGGATATTATATTATTAAATAGATGTGTGAACAAGGCAAAGAGAATAGATAATTGTTAGAAATAAAAGTATTATTATAACTAAAAAGATAGGATTTGCAACTAGAATACTATATTTTAGTATGAGAAGGGAAATATGAAAATGCTAAGAGGGTCTGAATAAGGGAAGCTTTTGGTTACCCAATTATAATTTATTATGAGAAAACTATAAGTGATAAAGACACTTTGAACATTGATGGGAAATCAAAATTTAAAAAAAGCGGGAAAAACAAGATACTGATTGAACAAATAGATTTTAAGTGCAAATGCAATTGAGATATGTTTTGGTTAGAAAAGATATTTTAAACTGATACTATTGATATTATGTATAATATTAGAAAAATGTGATAAAGATGTTGATATTCAATTGTATATGTATTAACAGCAATAAGAATTGTATTTGCCTAGAAGAGAGGAAGCACTGGATGATGTAGTATTGGATCTAGATTGAAGAAGTTAATATGTACCACTGAATTACTAATGGACCCAGACAATATGTTGTTTGTTAAGTACTTATGATTGCAAAACTAGAAAATTAATAAACTATTTATAAAAAAAACTATATTCTAATTCATAATTAGTATTAGATGGCAGGTAAGCTGCTAAGTATGTACCTGATAATTGCTATGCTTAATTGCACCCTGGATCAAGAACATACTTATATTCTGAGAAAAATGTTTACTTGGATCCCACATTAGAATGTTGGCAAATTTTAAAAGGGCATACGCATTTAAGGACACAATTATCTTCTTCTCTCTGTATTCTTTCATCCCACCTTGTTTCCGTTTTATAGTTTTCCCATCAGGATCATAGCCTGGTGGATAAACAAGTTGTTTAAACTCCTCTGCAAGGCTACCCAGTCGGCCATCCATTAGCTCAGTCTTGGGCGCTGGAAAGGAAGGAAGACTACCTTAGAACTGGTATTTAAAAATACAGAAATAATGGATATTCAATATACACAATATATTTTTGAGCTTTAGAGCAGCAGAGGCCATGAACTGATCTATAAAATCTGACTGGACAGGAACAAGTACCAATTATTAATGCTAATTACTGAAATATTTTGCTTTGTAAAATGACATATTGAAAACAAAATAAATAACTGCTTTAAAGAATTAGAAAATAACTAGTAATTATAACTCAATAGGGTTTTTTTTGCCTCCGCCTTCATTAACTAACAGAAATGACAAGATAATATAGATACTAGGCAGGAAACAGAAGGTAAGAATATTTGGCTAACTTAAATACATCAACTGATGAAGAATAACTGTTAAACAAGCATGTCTCAAACTCATAGTATAGATTGGAAATTGTAATCTGGGATCTTTTAAAAAAAGATTCCAACTACCGAGGGAGACACTGAAAAATGAGCTCTATTTTTATATTTATACTTTATTCATGTTAAAAACAATCCCTACATTCAGGGTTGACTTTCAACTGTCAGGTAAGTATCTAAGCATTACAAATATACAACTCTATCAAATATTTTTACTACTTCTGTAAAAAATATAGTTCTATAACAATTGCTTATTATATTCTTAAATGCTTATGACATATCAAAGACCATATTAAAAGCAAACTACATTATACTAAATTATTCTTGCCTGTCAGATCCTCAGCTTTTTCAGGCTCCATCAAATCTAGTGCCAGTGCTTCCAAATTCATATGATGTTGTTGAAGTACTGGATTTTCAAAACTCTCACTTCTGTCAAAATCCAGCAAAAAGTGCCAAGAATGTCATCATAATACAGAAATGAATATTCAAACACACATTGACAATTTAAACCCCCAACTTATTTTAATAAAGAATAAGATTCTTCAAGCATAATATCTTTCTGTGGGAGGTTATCCAGTTTTGAATGCAAATGTGTCTGTCATAAAATGGAATAATATTGCAATATAGATCTCAAAAAAGAGAGATGCAGAATGTTTTGCTATTACCACTCAACTGAACATAACACAGTTGTGTAATATTTGGTGCTCTTATAGAGAGATATTTGGTTTTTCCTTGTATTATGAAACAATAGACATCAGTTAACATTACCAAAAGAAATATTGTTTAATGAAAACCTGAAGGTTACTTTAAATATATATAGTATATAAAATATATTTAAATATATATAGTATATAAAATATACTATAGTGAATGCATTTGAAACCTATAGCAAGACACAAATCTCTAATAAAGATAACATAAACTGCTTTCCAAGTCAGAATTTTTTCAAAGTTGATGCAGTTCCTACTTATAGATATTTTGAATTCATATTTTTCCCCTCTAGGATGAATGTTTAAGTATTATACAGTAAGCTTAAATTTGTCCCTTCTCTACAGAAGCAATTTGATTTTCTATTCAAAAGTAGGACATTGTAATAGTGCAAAAAGGATTTGTTGTATATATTCATCTTAGATATATTGGATACCAAATTAAGACACTGAAGTTTGGAGGTTTGTCTAGTTATTATTTGCTAGGCATATATCTTAATTTTTATCTTTATATTCACTTGTATTTGAATCGAAGCTTCTGGATTATTTCCTTCATTTTGTTCACTTGTTGTTGATTAGCTGATACCTTCTCAGTAAAGTTAATATGCCGTTTGTCATCAGCATAAGTTAGAAAAATGAGATGAAAACCTAAGCAGAAGGAAAAAGAGACAATAGAAAGCCAAGTCATTTGAAAGCACAATTTGACATTTATCCTGTCAGTGTAATCTCCAAATACGCAGTATTTTGATAAATAATCTACTAAACTAAATTGGCATTATCACAAATTGCCTGAATGCTTCAACTGTATTAATCTGCTTGAAATATTAAATTATTAAAATATCAATTCATTACTGAAATTGTTCAAGTGCCAATAAGAGTGATTGCTTTTGAAGAGATAATGTAGATAAGTAATTAAAAAGACAGAGTAGAAATACTTTATTTATGTTTACATTAATTTTATTAGACATAATTCAGAAGGGAACATATATCTAATTCTAAACACCCTCCATAGTTGGAGCAATAAGCTCAGAAAGAGGTAGTGAAGAACTGACAGGCAATCAAGGAACAATTGTTAACGAAATATACAGTTTATTGTAATCAGAGATGGCCTAAGTATGTCCACATTCAATTAAT